CCCCCCCCTCCCCAACGATGAAAAGCACCGGCAAAAACAAAGCTTTTTAGGGTTTGTTCATTTCTTTCTCGCCCGTCCTCAATTAGGGGTTCTCGAATTCAAATTGGTTTGTTCATTTCTTTCTCTTAATTACGAATCTCCATGCTTGTAACGGAGAAATTAAGGTTTGGAATAAGGACTAATAATCGTTCTTGTGATCGCAAGATTCAGTTAAGCTGGGAACGTGGGCGTTTGAACCCAGGGCTACCGTCCGGCCCGCTGAAGGCGACGTCCGCAATGCTGGAGGGACGGATTGTCGCGTTTGCGTTGCGGCTGGGGACCTTTTGTTCAGGCTGGCGGGAGGTCGCGATGGTGCACCGTTCGTTGGACAGATCGATGGTTTCAGCCACGAAAGCGAGCACGACCTGGCCGTAATGGTGACCGATTTCCTGGAGAACGGGAGCAGTGGTGCAGATTCGAGATGCAGCAGCGACAGCGATTCTGGTTTCTCTGATCTTGCCCATCTTGCCGAGAGGATTTCGGTTAGTCGTTTTGTATAAATTTATCCTCTTTTACTTTTTTCGCTGCATCTATTTATTTCTTTGACTATTTTCCTATACTTGATTGCATTATTTTCCTTTCACCCCTTTTCATTAATCGTTATTTCGCAAAGGTTAATTTTTTTATGTTGTGACCGTGAAAACTGTCAACTTAGTAAGAGTGTATTTGTTATACATGGTTGTATTTGGCTATTCTTGACGTGGTTTTCTTGTAATCTGGCATTTTTATGCTTCAATTCAGTTAGTTGTGCAATTTCTGTATTCGCAATTTTCTACCAATCTAATCTCTCTCTCGTTAGGATAACTAAGAACTAAGGATTTCAAATTTTCACCTTTATTGTGTTTAATTTTTTTTCTCATAATTTTTGTATGAGTTGTTTTTAATAGGGTAAACATACCCTGAGTTTTGCAAAATGACTTGTACATACTTTTTTTTTTCAGGAAAAAGAGTGGTGATTAAATTATATTGTAAATAAAGTTGTACAAGGTTGCATGTCCATAGTAGAGTGCCTTGCGACCCCAGTCACTCCACCAGACTTAAATATACCCTCTATTTAAAAAACGTTAATAACAATTAAATATGAGGTTATATGGATTGTGGCCTATTTAATTTTTTAGAAACCCCATTTACCCTTCTCTGCCCTGTTCGACGAGAGAGAGAGAGAGAGAGAGAGAGATTCTTCCCGTTTTCATCATTGCATCTTATGTTTAAGATGGTAAATTATGCAAATCAGTTCTGGGGTTGTCGGACTAGGATTTACCATGAGAGAGAGAGGGAGGGATTCTTCCCATTTTCATCATTGCATCTTATGTTTAAGATGGTAAATTATGCAAATCGCAAATCAGTTCTGGGGTTGTTGGACTAGGGCTTACCATGAAGGGAATGTAACCCCCTTCACTACAGAATTGATTATTTGCTCCTAATAGTGTAATGCTCTGTAATTTAATGGATATTGATGTAATTAGCTTGTTTTTTAGTTCCTGTTAGTAGCAGAAGGGAATGTAACCCCCTTTTTAATATTCATCACTTGAAGCTTGTTCAGGGGTGTGAACAAACTTCTTTACATTCAAAGTATTTGCAGATTTCCGTTTTTCTTTTTGGTCTTTACGTGCTTCTTTCGCTTCCAGACGTTGTAGTATTTATCAATGATTATTTCTCCTGCTTGAAGGATTTGCATATAAGCATTTGGTTTCATATCATCAAGTTTCACTTATACCACTCTAAAGGTTTTCGTTTAGGATTTTATTAGTAGTTTTTTTTTTTTTTTTTGATGCAGGTAAAGTATTGAATTGTATTAGGAGCTTTTGGTAAACTCCATCAGGTGGATAGGCATAATTTAAACTTTTAAGGGATATTAATAGCGGACAAGTTGAGGATTGACAGTTTTGATGATTTCAAGTTGCATATTCTTTAGTTTGTTGTTCTTGATTAGGAGCTTTTGATAAAAGTCATCAGGTGGATAGGCATGATTTAAACTATAAGGGATATTGGTAGCAGGAAAGTTCAGGATTGACAGTTCCGATGATTTCAAGTTGCATATTCTCTAGCAAAGAAATGCATAGTTTGTTCTTCTTGGATGTTTTTAGCATATAATAAGAATTGCAAGACATATCATGCTAAATGGTTCTGATGGATTTCCTGTCTTGATGGAGTTATATCATTTTTTGAAAGCCTCAGGTACATCAATAGAATATCTACATGACTACATGATAAATGCCTCAGTTTTTTAAAAGCGGGAAACGCAACTAAAGTGTAAGGGATTTCTATTATATTACAGAATGAAGTACCACTCTTGGAAAAATCAAAAGAAAAGCTTAATATACAAGAATATGCAAATCTAAATCTGAAACAAGTGGAATGTTTCAAAAATCCTATTAACTCAATTGGTTACAGCTTTGTGTAACACAAATGTCATATCTTTATGCATTCAAGTTCTAGATAATTAAACAGTTTAAACAGTAAATATCAAGGGTAAAAACTGTGATATTATAGATTATCCATTGAACATCAAGTTCTAGTGTATTCCATCAAAACATAGCAACAATCCAAATAAGAGGTACCCCCACTAGTGAGCCTTGCTTGTGAGCTGTGCCTTCAAAACAATGAAGTGCTACAGTTATTTTTTGGTGAAATAATCTAAAGTGCATCCACGTTCATCTAGGGGTGTTAATAAGGTCTAAATGGTTGATATTGTTCTTAGTTGAAAAAAAAAGATGTTACCTGAACTAAACTCTAGGTATCCATAGTAAAACCTATTATTTTGACCCTTTAGCACTTTTGATTTTATAGAAATAAATACATAAGCAGTGTTGTTCTCTCTCATGCCATGAAAAGAATGCAATTCTAAGACTTATCTGGTTCCTCTGCTTACGGGAGGCAATCTATAGCTGTCTGGAGCTAGTGACTGAAGGTCCTTGAAGGTCTGGGCATTGAGCCTTATGGAAAGTCATAGAGCTCACTCCATGCATAAACTGATGCTCTTTCCTTTCTGTGCCCATCTTAAAAGTTGGCAAGCAAATATAGACTAGTGCCAAATGTTAAATGCTAAGTCTGGTCCTAGTTTTAATCTTGTTGTCAAGGTGATTAGACATCTCTAGTTGCTAGTCCTTGACAAAGGTGCCTAGGTGATGCATAGCTCATCAGCTTTAGCTCCTGCATTATGCTATACTCGCTGATCAGACATTTCAGCAGATTAATGTTGCTTTTGAAAAGGTAACCTATATTGTATAGATATAAAAAAAAAGGAAGTTGTCTATCGTATAGTAATGGCAATCAGTGTGATATGATACATAACAGAAGCAGTGAGCATAACTTTACTGGCTTCCAGAATTAAAAAGGTTTGAGAAAGCAACCCAACAATAGTGAGAAAGATGCAGCAATTATGAACAACTTAAGAAAAGTAGTCTGAAGTATGGCTTACATGCATTTGATAATACAGTGGAAATGAAAAAAAAAATCCTTTTTTATCACAAAAAAAGGGGAAATGACCTAAAGTCTTGAGAATGAGGTTATAGAAGGGAAAAAAAAAAAGAATCTCTTTTAACGAGAAAGGTTAGAGCTGGAGAAAATCTTTTACCCCCTATCCAAATCAATATCTAAGTTAATTGGAACTGATTGAGCTCCGTTCTTCTCACTTTTCTCTTTTACCAAGAGCCTCACATGCATTATTTTAAAGAATACACAGAAAAAAAGGAAATCATGTTATGCTTTAATTTATTATATTATAACACCTTGCAGTTTATTGATGATAAAAAAAAACACCGTGCAGTTTATCAGAAGAAAATGTCACCTGGATGCCTAGGTGACCGACCACCTAGGGTCCCATACAAGTGTAGGTTGCTTGGGCAATCCTCTAGTCTAGAGAGTAGAGTGACATGCTCAAGGTGCATTGTCCGTTGATGCCCTTGGATGAACTATGGAGAACTATGAGAATCTCTTCCTTTGCTAGATAAATTAAGACAACTGAAGGAATTTATGCTGAGAGTTCTGTAGGTGAGATTTGCATTTAAAATTTTACTATGCAAATCTATGCAAGTTGTGCAATTTGTGAACCTATTCCATGTATCATTTATGCAATGCCGTGGACTAAACTTCTATCAATGCGATAGCAAATTCTTCACCTCTTGGAATTTCAATTTGTACAACTCATTTTGGCTGTCTGCTTTCTATTATGGGACCAATTAATTTTTTCTTTTTTTCCACATCTTGGTTTTTAACTGTAGTTTCTAATTAGGCTTGATTTTGCTTATTATCTTTTATTTTTCAGCTCTATCGGCACAAAGTGGATCAGTATGAGAGTGACCTGTTGTCTACAGTTCATTCCATTCTACTTTCCATCAATGAAACAGATCTTCACACTGTCAAGTCAAGCCCATGTAATGCTAGCTGTATCAGGTTTTCTTTGGCAAAGCTCCTGAGATCCTATGGTTATGATGCTGCTGTATGTGTATCCAAGTGGCAAGGTTCTGGAAAGGTCCCTGGAGGTATGCTGACAAATCAACCGACTTTGTGCTACTCTGGTGTCTTTTTAGTGTTTCAGGTGCATAATTAGGGCTGCAAGTCGGGCCGGGTTAGGTCGGGTTGAGGCTAACCCTAAACCAACCCTAAGTTCTAAACCCCAACCACCCTAACCCAACCCGACTTACCCAACCCTAACCCTAACCCTAACTAAATTCCTTCAACCCTAACCAACCCAACCCAATGTCAATTTTGGGTTGGGTTGGGCTCGGGTTGGGCCCAACCCAACCTTCTTCCCATCCCTTAAAACCTCATAAGTTTCTCGGTTTTAGATCTTAACTCAACTTTCACTACATATATTAATCCTATGTTTCATTAGTATTTGTTTGTTGACGTTTTTTTTTTGGTACACAATTCAGAAAAACAAGTGTTAGAAATAACTATAGTTTATTATGAGTTATGGCTTACGATAGATCTTTCTTGGGCGGAAAACAACATAGAGGAGATGAAGAATAAAATTTTCGAAAAAACATAAAATAATATTATTAAGGTTTTAGTCTTTCTGATTAGGATTAAGTGAAGTGATTATCTTAAAAGAAATACATGACACTATGTGGTGGGGGCTATACAAATATCATACATCTGAACAAATCAATGTATGCTATATATTACATATAACATATATTTATATATGACATGTACTATAGAATCGGGTTCGGGTTGGGTTGGATTGACTAAGGGGTCAACCCTAACCCAACCCGAAGTAGTCGGGTTCATGAATTTCAACCCTAACCCTAACCCGAATATCAACCCGACCCGACCCGACCCGACCCAACCCAATTTTTTCGGGTTGGGTTAGGGCCAACCCGGCCCAAGTTGCAGCCTTATGCATAATAGTGATGGTATATCTTGAACCACATGTCATCATATTCTATGATAGACATTACATGCATAGCAGGTTTGAATACTCATGTTATGCATCCATCCTGTCTGATGTTTTAGAACAGAAATGACCTGTCTTTACATGTTTCTGATCATCTGACAAGCTTTTCTTACATTCAAAAATTGAGATGAATCAGCTTTAGGGGCCATTTGATAACATCTGAAGTGGCTTAACTGAAAAGCTTATTGCTTTTGTCATTTAGGCTCAGTTTGGACGGAGTACGAATACAAGGTTTAGAAATAGGCCATATAAGGTTTTTCACTATACACTTTTGTATTTACACTCTTCCCAAGCAGTGGCTTAGAAAATAAGTTTTTAAGAAGGTTGTGGGCTCCTTGATGGCTGAAGCTGAAGTTGGGTAGAAGACTACTATTACCCTTGAATGTTTATGATTTAGTTGTTTTATCCACTAGAAGACAAAGCAATAAATTATTAACTTCAGCCATTATTGAATGGCCCCTTGGGCATTGGAAATTTCCTACTTGCACATTCCTGTCCTAGGCAAAAAGTGAAATTACTGCTTCAATTTGAATCTTTCTTAAATTTTTTCCCCTTCGATTGTTGTTATTCAGGTGATCATGAATATATTGATGTGGTCATTCATCGTGATACTGGGAACTCTGAACGCTTGATTATCGATATTGATTTCCGAAGCCACTTCGAAATTGCAAGGGCAGTTGAATCTTACAGTGCAGTATTGAAATCAATTCCGGTGGTTTACCTAGGTTCCTTGTCAAAGTTGAGACAATTCCTTCAAGTTATGGTGGAAGCTGCAAGGTCTTCTCTCAAGCAAAATTCAATGCCTCTTCCTCCGTGGAGGTCTTTTGCTTATTTGCAAGCCAAGTGGCATTCTGCTTACCAGAGAAAGCTGAATCCAGACGAACAGGGTATCCATGACAGAAGCTATTCTGATCATAAGCAGTGCATAGGACATTTGAGGAGGCTTAAATCTTCTCTCCAATCTGAAATTGAAGCAGAAAGATTATTGAAGCCCATAAACAACGACAGTCATCGTAGAGTGAAAATAGAGAGGCGGAGGCACCCATTCAGAACCCTATGAAGATGTACAGATTTTGGCGGGAAAAACAATTTTTGAAGAGGCTGCTTTTCAAAAAGAATGAGGGAGAAAAATAAAAAAATATAATAAATAATAAATAAATAGAGAGAGAGAGAGAGAACCATTTGGATATGAAATAAGCCAGATTAAGTTGGATGTATTCATACAGTAAACATGAGTAACAATAACACGCCATATTTTTGGTGAAGTTTTCATCTTATCGTTCCTGAGTTTGTAATTTCTCTTCCCTTCTCTTGATCTTGGGCACCAGCAGAGAGCGGGGAGACGGCAACTCTTGGGCGTTACCGAGTATGTCAAAAGTCAATTTACGAGTGGGGACTAGGTGGTACATTTGCTTGACCTTGATACATCGTTCTATAGATTCTATTTGTTCTTTATGTTATAATTTTGAGCGACTTTCCTAGCCTCTTATTTTACGGGCATAGGAAATTTTGGTTTTATCTCAAATGTTTTTTTTTTTTCCTAGTAAAGTACAAGTCAACAAGTTAAATACCCTTTACAGCTGCAATTTAAAGGCTGGTTGTTTGATGCCATTGTTATTCTGTTCAATCAATAATATTATAATCATTTCTGGGTTTGTAATATTTTCTGCAATCCCATCCTCTGTTACACATCACTGTAACTCTTTCATGGTGTTATTAAGCAAGGATTCTAAACTTAACATCATAAATACTAGGGGTGGACAGGAATCAAGATATCTGCAAGTCATTCAATTGATTTGGGTTAATTTAAATTAAGTTCGAACCCAATATATAGCTTTGATTGCTAATTGTATCGAGTTAAAATAATATGAAGCTTGGTTTGTGATTAAACGTGAACCGAGCCGAGATGAGCTCAAATATATGAGCTTTTGAGTTGAATTGAATTGGAGTTGGTCTAGGACGAATTAGACTCAAGTCCCAGCTCGAGTATGTTTTTTTTATGTCGAATTGAGCTTGAATAATTTAATATTTGGCTCAACTTGTTTCATATCCACCCCTAACATATGATTTGTGTGATAGAGTTTTACCATTAATTAATCTATTTGCTAGTTTTAGCTTTGCTATCAAAGCTTAGATAATGAGACAGAATTAGGGCATACAATCTGTTTTGGACTTGTGGTTGTTTCGAGATAGACAGAAATGGTGTTTGTCGTATCAGTTTGGACCTGGATACTAGAGATATGTAAAAAGGAGCGCCTCATCCAAGTGTTAAATTTTTGGTCAACCAATGAACAAGTGAACGTCTTGGGTAAATAAAGGAGATGATCAGATTTTTAATCAGTATCGCGGTTAGAGGTGACAGTTGGTCTGGTTTGGGTTAAAAAATGGGTTGGTTTAACCCAAACCTGCCTTGGTTCAATCCAAATCCAACCCACCTAATCCGTTAATAAAAATTATAAAAAAGAAAAAGAAAAATAACAGAAGGTAGCTTGGTCATTTCTTTTACTTTCTTCAACCATAGCACCGTGAGTTTTGTCATTGGTGTTTGCAAATAGAAACCTTAAAAGGATCTATTGCAAAAGAAGAGAGAGAGATGAATGATGTTAATATGAAGAGTCTAATAGATTATTTGCTGGACAATAATGCCCAACACACCCAAACCAACAATTAAGCCTCCCCTTATTGGGTTACCCAACCTGCCAATTACCCTAGATTAAATGAATACAATCCAACGCATCAATTAATGGCTGGTGGGTGGGTTAGTAGGTTGGGTTGAAAAGTAGATACCCCTAATCATGATGGTAGCTTATATATATGGAGTTTATATTTGTATTTCTAAGGATTCGTTTGGTTCCTCGGTATAAGTGCTTGGAATCAGAACAGGAAAGGTGCATTCTGATTCTAGCTGTTTATTTGGTTGGAATGAAATTCCAGTTCCTATTCTTGATGGAATGGGATTCCTCTATATGTGGGCTTGACCATTCCAAGCCCCCCCTCCCCCCCAACGAAATTCCCATCCTACTTTTTCAAATCTAATATCTCTCTCTAGAGGAATGATTTCAGGCCAAAGCCTCCTATAGTCAAACATGTGGCCCACCTACATTTATACACCTGTTCTTTCAAAGATTTAAACAAAATAGACACGTGTCAAATTCAGATTAGTGATAATTCAAGAACAGAGCCCACTAACATGCAGATTGGAGCCTACCACCATGCAGAGTTGTGAGAAGTGGGAAGTTCCCACTTTCAATCCTTTCTTGAAAAAAAAGGAAACTGTGATTAATGCATTTCAAATCAAACCAGTTTCATTAAACAGGTAGTTATTAATTCGACATGCTATTAATTACTGTTAACTACTAAACTAATTAATTAATTATAGTTCTTGATTACTAATAATAACTAGCGGGGACCCGTGCGATGCACGGGATTTATTAAACGAAAGCTAAATAATAGAAAGGGTCGTTTACTAAAATACTCCTTATAGTTTTATTGATTTACTAAAATCTACCCTATAGTTAAAATTTTACTAAAACATCACTTATAATTTGCAATAGATTTAATCAATCTTCCATTGGATGATAGTGGAAAATGACAGTGTTGCCCATAATATTCATTTAAATAAATGTAATCAAAAGAAAAAAAATAAAAATACCATTTTTGCCCTTTATAAGACATGAGCAACCACTCTATTAGCTATATTTGGTTAATTTTGTTTTCTGTACAAAAAAAAAGTGTTAAGGGTGTTTTTGAAATAAAAAATCATGGGCCTAATGACAAAACAAATACTCCTTAATGAAAGGTTGATTAAATAAATAAGTTGTAAAATATATGGGATGTTTTAATAAAATGAAAACTATAAGGTAGGTTTAAGTAAATATGTAAAACTATAAGATGTGTTCTAGTAAATGACCCTAATAAAATCACATCAGAGTATACAATTGTTTTATATTTTCAATTTTTTAAATAATTAGTAATTATTCATATTTTATATACTAATTTTAATAATTTTTTTATAATAAAAATAATTAATTTCAATTAGGTTTATTTATCAAACTGATGAAATTGACCAACCCGATACCCGAGTTCGTCGATTTTCTAGTATTTTAAGTCGGCTTTGGTTAAAAAATTTCCCAATTCGACCAAGTTGGATCAATTTCACTTTGGCCATTTGTAAACCAACCAAAATTGAACGACCTAACCATGAATATATATTAATATTTTATATTTTAAATATAATTTTGAATATGGAAAAGTGGGGAAATTTTCATATTTCTTAGTCTAAAATGTTTTATATCATAAATCTAATTTTTAAATTTATTTTTTAATATTTGCACTATAATTTTTAAAATTTAATTTAATTTTGAAGTTTAAATCTTTTGAACCGACTGACCAAACCAAAAAATTGACCCAGACTGATACAACTTAAGTGGGTCGGTTTTCACAAAAGGTCAGTCGGTTTCAGTTGACCAATTCCCCAACCTGACCAGGTCAGTTTGGTTGGCCAAATAGCCTACAACCGAACCGAACCAACTCATGAACACTTATAATTTTAGCTAAATTAATAGTCTCATCTCTAATAAATAACAATAGTTTAATCTCTAATAATTATTAAAAATTTATAGCAAAGATACACAATTATTGAAAATATATTGATAATGAAAAAATACAATAATTACAAAAATACAATAAGTACTAAAAATATATTAACTTAGTCAATAAATAGTATAATCTCAAATAATAGTTTAATCTCCAATAAATATTAATCAATAAGTTATAACAAAAATACAATAAATACAATAAGTACAATAAATTAAATTCAAAAATTTTCACTAATAGTAGTTTAATCTTCAATAACTATTGAAAGTTTTATGTAAAATAACAAAACAAAATAAATTTATACATTATCATTGACAATACATTTATCACAAAAACAATAAATAATTACTGAAATACAATAAATATTAATTTTAGTATATATAATTATATAATAAATACAGATTAAGAGTTTAAAATTATTATAATAAATATTATATTTTTTGAAAGTTATTTTCTTGAATTATTACTTATATAAGTGAAATTAGTTATTTACAATATTATGTAAAAATATTATATTATTATTAATTTCAATATTTTGTTATAATTATTTTTCTACTTTTCAGAATTTTTTTAAATTTATTACATAATTTCTTTATTTTAACTATTTAAAATCTAGTTATGTTAAATATTTTGTTATTTAAAATACCCAGTTATTTAAATACTTAAATAATATGAAAAATATTTAAATTTTAAAATATTACTTATTTATGGAATTTAATTATCCATAAAATTATAATTTATACTATTATTACATAATTTTATTATTAATATTATAATATATTCAACTATTATTAATGTCAATATTATGTTATAATTATTTTTTGCTTTCAAGATTCTTTTTTTAATTTATTACATAATTTCGTTGTTTTAATTATTTAAAATCTAGTTATGAAAAATATCTAGTTACTTAAATATTTATATAATCTATAAAATATTTAACATTTTTTGTTATTTGAATTTTATTTAATTAATGCTTTTACATATTATCAAAGATTTGAAAAACATTTAAATTGATGATCCGGAAAAACATAATTTAAATTGCTAGTACATAATTTCGTGATATATTTTGTAAAAATATAAAATTATTTATTAGATAATTTCGTTAATTTAACTATTTAAAATATAGTTATGATAAACATTTTGTTATTTAAATATTTAAACAATCTATAAAATATTTAAATTTTTTGTTATTTGAATTTTATTTATTTAAAGCTATTACATATTTAAAAGCATTTAAATTGATAATCCAAAAAAACATAATTTAAATTGTTAGTACATAATTTCGTGATATATTTTGTAAAAATATAAAATTATTTTTTGTGTTTTAAATAAATATTTTAAAGTTATTGTATATTTTGTTAGAATATTTAAATAATTCTTAAATTTTCTAATTCAAAATTTCTTTAGATAGATATAGATAAAAAGTAGGGGAGAGGATAAATAGGAATTAGAGATAATTTAGGAAAGAAATTCTCTACTAAATTAGAGATAATTTGGAAGATAAATAGGAATTAGAGATAATTCTGGAGAAAGTGGGGGAAGTAGTTTAGGATTAATTTTAGGAGAAGAGATTATTTAGTTTATTGGGAAAATGCATATCATTGGTTCTTTAAATGTGACATGGAATAAAAAAATAAAAAATAATTAATTTCAGTTATTAATTACTAATAATAATTACTGTTAACTACTCCTAATTAATTCATTCCAGCTTTTAATTACAAATAATAATTACTCACTGATAATAATTAATAATTGAAAATCATTTCTAATAATAATTACTGTTATTACTTAATTACTAATAATTTATTAATGATAATATTGCTCATTATTAATATGAAAAATTGATTTCTTATAATAATTATTTCTAATACTTAATTTCTAATAATAATTAATTACTGATAATTTATTACAGACAATATTGCTCATTATTAATTCAAAATGATAACTAGTTAATGATAATTAATAAAAATTTCATAATAGTAATTAACAATTTGGAATAATCATTTTATATTTATATTAACTCATATTAATTATTTTGAAAATAATTATTTCATTTTAATTATTTA